CGATGCTGATGCTATCGTTTGTTCCGTTCTTATCGACTATATGGTACTTAGATTCACTTTGAAGAACTTTGAAAGGTCCTTCGTATGCTGAATCGATTGGTCGTCGATGTGAGTCTCGACGTAAAAAGACGTGTGTACTATATCGTAGGTCAGGTTGAACGAAAACATCGGTTGATTGTGGTCGAGTGGAAGCAGGTTTAACTGAACGCATTGCGTTTATAAGCCTGTTCGTGTAGGAGGTTAGATCCATGTTCAATGAAGAGGATGAAGGATACACGAGTTCTCCTGGAAGTCGAAGTGTCGTTCCATAAACGAGTTGAGTCGCAGTGTATCCAATGTCAGCTTTCACTGCATTGCGGATACCCAGTAAGACGAGTGGAAGAGCGTCGGTCCACTGAGAAATGTTTACAGCTGATAGTGAAGCTTTTAGTTGTCGGTGAAAGCGTTCTACCAACCCGTTTGTTTGTGGATGGTAGGCGGTCGTTCGGAAGCGAGTGATTCCTAAAAGTGTGGTCAGACGACGGAAAAGTTCAGATTTAAACTGACGTCTGCGATCTGGAGTGATGGTTGAAAGGCAGCCGAAGTTTGCTACCCATCGTTCGATGAAGGTGCGGGCCACTGTTTCGGCAGTGGTATCCTTGATAGGTACTGCTTCTGGCCATCGAGTGAAACGGTCTACGCAGGTTAAGAGGTAAGAGTATCCATTTGAATCTGGTGAAGGTCCTACCGAATCCAGATGATCATGGTCGAAACGAGCATCTGGAGTTTTAAATGAGCCTAAGGGAGATTTATTGTGTCTGATGACCTTAGATTCTTGGCAGCTTACACAGGAGCGTGCCCACTCCCTCACGTCTTTATTCATGTCGGATCAGCAAAACCGTTCTGTTATAAGCTTGATGGTTGCACGGACACCTGGATGAGAAAGTTTGTGCAACGTATTGAAGACGTTGCGTCGATAATGTCTCGGCATGATTGGGCAACCCCTACCTGTAGATGTGTCACAAAGTTAGGTTTCCTTACCTGTCCCCATCTGTTTGATGCCTAGTTTGAGGGCTGTAGACGATAACTCGTGCTGAAGATCAGTATCTTCTTTTTGAAGCTCGGCGAGTTTAAGAAAGTCGATTCTTTGGAAACTGTTCAAGGAAGTTTTGCGAGACAAGGCGTCTGCAACTAAATCGTTTGCTCCAGAAATATGTTGAATATCTGAAGTAAACTTCGAAATGTAGTCCAGTTGTCGAGACTCACGGGGAGAGTACTTGTCTGAAGGAGAGTTTAGAGAGAAGGTGAGCGGTTTACGGTCAGTGAAAAGAGTGAATTCACGACCTTCGATGTAGTGTTAAAAATGTCGTACAGCACAATACATAGCTAGGAGTTCCCTACCAAATGTGCTATGCCTCGATTCGGTGTCTAGCAACCGTCTAGAGAAGAATGCCAATGGTTACCAGGAGTTTTTAACCCATTGTTGTAAAACTCCTCCGATTGCTGAGTCGGATGCGTCTACTGCGATGCTAATGGGTGCTTGAGTGTTCTGATGTGCAAGCATTGTTCCTTTCGCAATAAGTTCCTTAATTGTGGAGAATGCTTTTCGTGCGGTGTCGTCCAAAACAATTGATTCCGCATTTCCACGAAGTTGGTCGGTTTGCGGTTTCATGATTTAAGCGCATTTATGTATGAACCGTCTATAGAAACTTACAAGGCCGTTAAACGTTCGTAGTTGCTTGATCGTGGTCGGTTCTGAGTAATCCAGAATTGCCACCACTTTAGTCCTAAGGGGTCGAATGCCTTGAGCATCTATAATGTATCCTAGAAAGTCTAAGGAGTCAGTTCCGATTTGGCATTTCTGAACGTTTAAAGTAATGCCATGTTTTTGTAGTCGTTCGAAAACAAGATCAAGATGCTTGAGATGCGATTCTCTATCCGGACTTGCGATTAGGCAGTCGTCAACATACGCATGTACGAAGCTGAGACCTCGAAAAACGTCGTCTATGAATTTTAGGAATGTTTGAGCAGCGTTTCGTAGACCGAAAGGCATTCGCAAAAATTCATAGAGTCCGAAGGGAGTAATGATGGTGGTTTTCGGTATGTCATCTGTGGCCATGGGGATTTGGTTATACGCTTTAATCAAGTCCATTTTCGAAAAGACAGTTGTAATTTTCAAGGTAGCTGTCAAATCGTGAATGTGAGGCAACGGGTAACGATCGGGAATGGTTTTCGCATTCAATCGCCGATAGTCACCAGTTGGACGCCAATCGTTGCTGTCCTTTTTAGGGACCATGTGCAACGGAGATGCATATGGGCTACTTGACAGTCGTACGATTCCTAAGTCCATCATGTGATCGAACTCGTTTTTCGCTAACCTTAGCTCTTCAGGAGCTAGTCGTCGTGCTTAAGAGAGTACAGGTGGTCTTGTAGTCGTGATGTGATGTGTAACGTTCCTGGTTACACACGGTAGTTTCGGTTGCGTTTGGTGAATCCCAGGATACTTATCGAGTAATGGTTGATAAAGTGGGTCTATCATATGTTTAATTGTGACTGGACATAATCTGCAACCAGAAAAAGAAGTTACGCAAACGGATAAAGTAGTGTTTCCGTCTACTAGCCTCCGTTTGCGCGTATCGATGATTAGATTAAGGTGTTGTAGAAGGTCTATACCAATGATTGGCATAGAAACATCTGCAACAACGAAGATCCAGTGAATGGGTTTGTGTAAAACCACGTTAAGGTAAACGTATTTATTGCCATACGCAGCGACAGGTTTTTCGTTTGCCGCCTGTACGTTTAGAGCTGATTCGTTAAGCCGGTCATTGGGACTCGCTGAGAGAACGCTAACTTCTGCGCCAGTGTCGACAAGGTAGCCAACTCTCATTGTCACATCTGTGACGAATAACAGACGGCTATGTTCGCCGGCTACGGTTGACGTTAACGCATGCCGGCTTGAAAGTTTCCCGAGTTCTTTTTCATGTCAGTCGGTTTTGAGCTGGGAAAATTGCGGGGTTTTCCACAATTCCTGAAAGACTTTCCATACTGGTTATGATACCAGCACCAGTCGGGGTTATCCGTCTCTCGTGGTCTAGAGACAGATCGCTTACGTGAAATGCTTCTACGTGGTGTGCGTGAACTCTTACGGTCGGTACGAAGATTAAGAGAACACGTGAGTGTGTGACATAACTCGGTTATGTCATTCTGAGTTGTTTGAGGCTTTTCTTTGACTGAAAAAACCTCGGAAGTAGATTTTGTAATCTCTAAGATACAGTCAGCAGATGCAGCCAGCTCGTCTAAGGCGTTGTTCTGAGACGAGACAAGAACCGCTTGCACCTGTTATGAAAGTTTGGACAAGAAAAGTTGTTTGAATAGGCTTTCGTCGAAAGTTCTTAGGCCTATAACTTCCCTCATCCTTTGCAGCATGTCCGTCGCAGAACCGTGCTGCAGGTCTATGTTATTAAAGAGTTGATCTAACCTTTGTCGATCGGTTAGGTCTCCTCATTTAAGAATCGAACGCTTTAAGGTTTCTTACGGGTCAGAAACGTCACTACTAAACATACTAGGTGTTACGTACCTGTTGAATTCCCGTGGTAGTGCCTTGACTACTGCAAGGAATTGTGCACGTGTGTCGTTCACGCCGTGCTCGTGGAAGTCGGCTACTGCGTAGCAGAACCAGGCTTCGATATTGTCAGCCAGAAGGGCATGAGTTGGAACGAGGATGGGGATATGGTCTTAGTCTTAAATACCTTAGGAGTCTGTTCGGTCATAGGGGAATATTAAGTACGAGAATACGAGGGAAAAAAATATAGATATCCTGAGACACGGGGAAAAATATCACAATGTATGAAAAATAAAAATAAGGCAATAATATATAAAAATCCCCGAAAGGAACAGACTCACAGTTGCAATTAGGTGTACCAGATCACGTCGGTCTCACCAATGAGGATGGCACAGGTATTCAGTGTTTGATAACGCTTTTACCGGCAACATCTAATATATGGCGTACTCACCATGAGAAATCAAAAGATAGAGTCGAGGAGATCGGAAGAGTGTATTTAGCGATTATCAATATATCGGAATTCTCAGATCTAATCTGGCTAGCGATTGCGGAAAAGGTTGAGCAAAGCGTTACCACACGTGATCTGGTGCGGATGCATGACCGAGTGCCTTCAGCTAGATGAGTCCACTAAAACATATGGTCAGCAGAGCTTTAGGGGATTTATTTACCACTACAATAGTAAAAGGTGGGCAGCACGACGTACTCGAGTGTAATCTGATGCGGATTCTTGACCAAGTTGAAATGGTTGTGGACAGAATGGAAGAAGCTTTCGCTTTAACAGGCTCCCGTGTATAGTAGCAAGGGATCACTAATACCTCCAGGCAGGAACCTAGATATATTAACTATAACAGACTATAAAAAAAAGAAATTGGTAACTCATAACAAGATGTTATCCTTAGTCCTCAAGCATAGGTCAAGTTTCCTCTTAAAGGACTCTTGGGAGGTCGCTTGGACTAGTTCAGTCGGCAGCGAATTCCAGCATTTGACAACTCATAAGGAGTAGAGGTTATGTCTACGGTCCGTTCTGCTATGTTGTATCTCCGACTTCTGAGTGTTACCCTTTAGGTTTGTATTGGGGCCAAGCTTAAGTAGGTGTTTAAGGGGATGTCTAGAATTATTAAGGATAATGTATGCCATCAGGTCACCTCTATGATTCCTTGGTCTAGATTAGTGTTCAGTAAAACCAGAAGAGTTACCATTAATTTTAGAAACCAATAAAACTGAAATAAAAGCGAAACGGTTTGCTTTCAGAATTACTCATCAGGACATTTGGTACATATAATACCTAAAGATGTCATTTTAGTGAAGATCTCTTAAATAATTCTTCACTTTTTTAAGGACCTGTACAAACCTCTTCGTTTTCTGTCATTAGTGCTTAGAAATGTCGGCACCGAGAAGCAAGCACCTATGCTGACTGGTTGTAAAGATATGAAATTTTGCAGATGGGACACAAAAAGTCCTTGAAATCGCTAAATGAGCGGTAATTTCTGGCGCTCCCGTTGTAGCGGGTTGGATTGTCTGGTTTTAGTCCGGGTTTTAAGATCATTTGAGTCTGAGGCTTTTGTTATTACAGATTATTGTCGATTGCTTTACTTGTTAAGTGTAAGTTCACCCTGTGCTCTTGCTAGGTCGTCGACTTATCTTTTTAGTTTATCTCTTTCCCAGCCCTCTAACGCTACTCTTATTTACTTATTTACTTAAACACATAAACATTAGTACAAGAAGACACCAAATATATATACGTCACATAAACCATTGAATTTGTGTGAGGGCCAGGGTACTATCCAGTGCACGCTACTCTGCCCCAAGCAACACAAAAAGGGGAAATAAAGGCGAAGAAAGGGGATAAATGCTTTGGTAGCGAAAGGGGAAATAAAGGGGAAAACGCACCAGAATGTCGCCTTTTTCGCCTGTCCGGGGGAAATAATGCGGATTTTCCCCTTTTTGCCTTTTCGCACGTGCGTGCAACCGCAGTAAATAAAATGTTGTAAGCTACTCTATTGGTTTAGTTAGTGTCCATTTTTGCAAGTTTATATTATGCCAACCCACGTTTACCTTATTATTTTCCAAATTCTCAAGTCGCCTAGATAAGCCGTAGTAAGTCAGTTTTGTACCTACAATCTGGCGTAAGTCAGTAATTGCTACTGTCATTATATATAGTTCTACTCAACGACGAAGGACGAATTTGTTTGTTTTACACAGTGCTATCACCTATTGTTCGACTTATCTGGGTACTCAGATCGTCATATTGGTCGGATGTGGATCTATTTGTTGCAACTAACTGATCGATTCTTATTCGATACTAACTTCACTATTTCGTTACTTTTGCAATTGTCACTTGCGTCATGTATCCAGTACCTTATCTCATACTCAATAGTCCCTAAGGAAATACCGTACTGGACTAATTAAATTTTTGTATTTTAAATACGGAGAGTGATATCTTAAGTGTGATTGTATAATTAAGGTAGAGAGCATTTCCATTAAATAGTCACAAAAAGCCCTCTTTTCTGCTTGTGAGCTTATTGACGACCCTTTTTATCATTTTCTTCCTAGCTGGTACTGATGTCACATTCCTCTGAAGCAGAGTATTACAAGTCATTTGCATTCCAATGTTATTAGAATAACACTAAGGTAGAGACTTTAATTACAGTTAAAACAGATTTGTGGGAAAAACGTTTTTCAAGTTTTCAAACTCTAGCTCAAGCGCGATCAATAATGAGTTTACTGTCAACTGGATGGCATTAATACATCTCATAAAGCATAAGTTGTTCCCCCAACAACAGGTTGAATGCCTCGGGGTGTTCAGGTACAGAGCACATCCGCCGTAAACTCAATTAAAAAGAGCATTTGAAGCTTTATGGAGATACCAAATCATTTGTGGGAAGACTCAACTAATAACACTCATCATCGATTCAGTGCTTGATATCCGTTGTCAACAAATGATTCGTGGATCTAAATCATAATCCATTGAGCCGTGGATATAAAATCAGTCATTCAGCTGCAACGTAGGACCAGGCATACATGCGTACTGGTCCAAGTTGCCACACATCATTATTACAACAAGATGAACACCGGATTCATAGGCGTAGTTACTTCAGTAGTAGTTATATTATCAAAGAAAGATTGTGTATAAGGATATGGTGCAGGAAGAGAGAATTAGTTCGTAGAAAGAAAGATATGAAGCGATTTTAATCTCGCGGTTTAAGGGAAAACAAAGAGGGTACACACCGACGTCATTGTGATCGATTCTGAGCCATGTCACATAAAGTCTCCAACCATTGGTTACGATAGTCACGCAGACCTCAACCAAGTAGTCTGCATCTACCAACATGGCTCATATCAGAGGTTAGTGACTTTATAGACTGATGCCACGTTTTTGTTTGGCCGCCCCTAACATTCTTCCACTCGTTTTCAACACTAGTCAGCATTGCGCGTCGTGGTAATTGGTGTTCAGGCATACGCAACACAGTCGATGAAGTTTTACAACCTTATCAACTGATTTACCATCATTCCCTAATACCCTGCGTCTAACCTCACTATTACTTACCCGGTGATCCCACCAGATGCGAGCACTATTTCTAAGACATTTGTGATCGGGTATCTTCTAGTCTTAAAGGCCACGTTTTGCAGCCAAAAAGTAGAACAGAACAAACTGCCGCACTGTATACTCGTCCCTTAATTGATAGACGGGTATCTCGTCTTCGCCATAAGTGAGATAAGTTGGCAAAAGCCAAACGAGCTTTTTGAATCCGTGCAGAGATTTCGTCAAACACCAACCCAATAGTGCTGATGAGACTTCCGAGGTGGTGAAGTTGTCGATGTGTCCGACTACTACTTCACTCTCTATCCTTAGTTCAGTTGTTGACACAGGCCAGTCCTGAAGCAACAACTTGGATTTAGAGGGGTGAGAAGCGCATTCCAAAAATCCTGGTGTTGTTGCTCAGTGTTACCAAATGACTGCATTTTATCAGCGTCTTCACCAAACAGAACTATGTCATCTGCATATTCGAAGTCGATAAGCTGATCTCTTTGTAGGACACCGATTCCTGGAAATTCAGTCGACGAAAACGTTATCCTCAGCAGTAGATCTGTGATGAAGTTGAACAAAATATAAAATAGTATTTTATTGTTCAGTGTGTTATTAACTCTCATTGGGCAAACTTCTGAGTGATTTAGGTGGACCTCATTAAAACATGCTGTGATAAAAACAATAGACGAACTTCAGCTCTTAATTAATTTCTGTATGTTGTTATCAACTGTTTAGGACGAAATGTGTTAGAGTACGACAGGTTTTTCTCACGACTAAACACTTAGCAAGTTCCAAAAGTATGAGATCACATTCAAAGATTTTAAACTAAATAAAGCCCAGCACTATCCTAGAATATTTTAATTAAAAGATATCTCGTATTTGTGACAACTGTTATGACTTAATCGAATCCACAATTTCTCTTAGTTCCTGGAATTCATTTCCTAAATTAAGGGTTCTAATTGAAAGCCTTACTAAATGTAATTCTATCATCATAGTCGTTTATCTTCATTATCATGGGTTACACTTGTGATTCACAACTCATTATTCTAACACCGTAATGATTTAAATATGTCCATTATTGTGTTCATTCTGTTAAATATCGCAGTTCATCCTGTTTTAAATGTGACTTCTAATTCACATGGGTGAGGATAGCAGTTAGTTTAATCGAGATATACTAGACCTATGATGCTTGAGAGTTAGGCAATAAAAAATCATGGAGTTTTCATCTGTCTGTTACAGTTTTTGTGTCTTTTACCTTTCAGATTACCCATTTCTGTTTAAAATGTCTCTTCTAAATATCTGCTAATAATCTAACACCAACACGAGCGTGCTCACGCACTGCTAGTTTTCAAATGTTTTGTGAATGAATTAACCCCTTCTTTAACCTAATAATCAATAAGCTAATTACCTCGCATCCTAATGTGCTCCGGCAAAGCCTCAGAATTAAAAAATACGAAGCAGTTACTTGATTACTTGAAAGAACTATTTCTGGATCGCATGAAACTCTTAGCCACTCCTGGCTTATACATTCATATTGAAAAACTTTTGGGCGAAGGTACTAATTGTATTCTAGTTTATCTCTTTTAAAAGAAATACTGCGTGTTCAGAGCGAATTGTTTTCAACATCCGGTATCTGTCCAATAAAAGAAAGAGAATTGCCAAAACCCGATGGCCCTAAGGTTAATCTACAAGCTAAAATATATATGCCGATGGACTCTACCAATAATGTAAGTGATAAGCAATGTATTTTTCATATTATTTTCCTTTAAATTTATTGTGTATGCTCCTATTTGGAATTGTACCCTGTAATAATTTAAATAGGCAATCAAACATAATCCTCCGTAAATAATATTCCACTTATTATTTGGTAAAGTTATTTAACTGTGAGGTAGATACTCACTCGTCGGTTTTCAATCCCCCTTTGTTTGGGTTACTTCAATCAAGTCTGATATCAACTGTTTGGACCACAAATACGACTATTTATTAAATGATATATGCGGCTTTGTACTTCTCATTTGATTCTCATCACACTACAGATGTTTGTGTTTCAGTTTTTTTCTATTGTTCTAAATTTCGTTCCTAGAAATCTTATTTTATGTGTTTGAATTTTCATCTTGTATTCCTTGTACTGTATTTTGTTCTTTTTTGTAGTATAGCAAATAAAATTTCAGGTGTTTCTTATACATGACATTCATTAACCAACCAAGTAAAAAACAATACATGTTATTTGCAGAGCTAATGTAGCCTGTCGGACTGGTCTCTGGTGCTTTTAGTGGCATAGAGATAGCTACTTAATTGCTTTCATATAGGCAACTAGTTTGTGAATGCCTCTCTTCACCATCTGTATGCCTACGCTTTTGTTGTTCACTCAACTTACTACTGGCAGTTAATGAGTACTTCTGTTGAATCATTTGTTAAATTCCGATGTCTAAGAGGCGAGACATCATCATACTCATATCCTGTAGTTCTGTTTTTTGGTGGATATTATTAAAAAGACAAATCATAGATGAAAATCTTATCATAAAAATGCATGAAACAGTACCTTGTTTTTGTTTTAAAGCTGCTCCGTGACAAAACTTACAACCTAAAACATATGTGTAGGAAAATGAGTATCCGACAATAATAACATGTCAAGCATAATACAGTGCAAATGCACTTGAGTTTTGTCACTCACATTTAAAGGTGATCAAATTCCCTAAACAATTAACTACAAAAATAGGTAGGCGGTTGGAACAGATTCATATTTCTGATAACCATTTAAAAAGCTGTGACTTAAAGGTGTCGAAATTTTTTATAATGAGATTGTACAATCGTTACTTAATGACTGGTTTATTGTGTACGTTTTGAAGTCATTTTATATAACTAATTAACAAGAGAGTGCGATTTTGTAGCATTTTGCTGAGGTACTTGTTATCAAAGTACTCGAAGCTAACCTATACATTTGGTAGGGAGTAGCTATCAGTTTATCAGTCATATTAATTTGGATGTTTCTAACATCAGTCATTAGATAATTTATCCACTCATTTATTTGTTGCCACACAAAATTTATCCTTGTGATAGTGTATTTCGTACTTTACTATATCTCCAAATTTGTTTAGATTCCTTGAATATTTTTACAATTACTGCGTAACCTGTGCTTTCAATACTCTTTATTTATTTAAATATAAACATTGGTACAAGGAGGCACCAAATAGATATGCGCCACATAAATCATTCAATTTGTGTGAGGGCTGGGATACCACCCGGGTGCCTAAACTCGAGCTCTCGATAATCGATCTCCTTTTAGTCCTTATAGAGTATTCATCTAATGGTAGTATATTTCAACAGACTGAATGAAAACCATCATCCCATTTGTTTACGTTTATCAAACTGATTATTCAATGCTTTCTTCATATTATTCTGTTTCTATATGTAATATACTCGAATTCTGCGATCTAGTTTGCGATTGGTTTAGCAAATAAAACGTTTTCTGTAGACATTAGAAGCAACTTTAAGTCAGGCTTGCAATACCATGATATGGTTAGCCTGTTGGAGTGCTTGTTTTGTATTTAGTCATGTACTAATGTTTTGCTATAAAGAGTAGTAACAACGCAGGCAGCGATAGTCATAGTGTGAATTTTATGCTAACGGTAGTCCAGTATTACTAACTAAACGTATCGAGGTATAATTTTTCTCTTGGGTTGATAACTTGGTGGATAAAACACTTGGATTTCAAATAATTAGTTACGGGTTTGAATACCTCACTGTCTACTTTGATTTGGGCAACCAAGTGGCATCAGTAGTTCCCACACAAAATCATGGGACTCAAAGCCGAGTTGATAAATCTGTAGTTTACGGATGAGTCACATAATTATTGGTAGATGAAAATCGTCTTACGGTAAGTTATATTGACCTAATTAAGTTAACACCATTGACTTAACTACTCCTATGAATCCGATGTTCATCTTGCTGTGCTAATGCGGTATGGCAACTTGGACCGATGCATATATGTGCCTCGTCCTACGTTGTAGCTGAGTGACTGACTGAAGCCTTAAAATTTGTAGTTCATCACCTACCTACACGAAATCCCATATGAATCATTTTGAGTGATGGCTTATGTAGAGTTGCCAATTGACAAAATGACAAGTAGTGCATATTAGAAAGATTGACTTTTATTATCTTGATGTAAAATTATCATACTGACAAACATAAATTGATTGCAGTGACACTATTTTAATGTCATTCTGGCATGAGTTAAGTTATATTGGAAAAAACTCCAGTATGGTCACCTAACGAGCTAATAAATTAAGAGAAAACATATAGTCAACTTAATGTTTTCTCATAACAATACATTGTTAATTAGATATGATAACCTTTTGTATACATTTATGAATGACGAAAAATACTGAGACAATATGTTAGCTGAAGTCAATATATTGCATAACATGGGAGTTTGTTTTAGGTCTCTCCAATGTAGAAAGATTTCCACGAAGGAAGTGTTTGGGACGCGTTGCCATACCTTTAAATGTAAGTTGTTGCTTCAGGACTGGCCTGTGTCAACAACTGAACTAAGGATAGAGAGTGAAGTAGTAGTCGGACACATCGACAACTTCACCACCTCGGAAGTCTCATCAGCACTATTGGGTTGGTGTTTGACGAAATCTCTGCACGGATTCAAAAAGCTCGTTTGGCTTTTGCCAACTTATCTCACTTATGGCGAAGACGAGATACCCGTCTATCAATTAAGGGACGAGTATACAGTGCGGCAGTTTGTTCTGTTCTACTTTTTGGCTGCAAAACGTGGCCTTTAAGACTAGAAGATACCCGATCACAAATGTCTTAGAAATAGTGCTCGCATCTGGTGGGATCACCGGGTAAGTAATAGTGAGGTTAGACGCAGGGTATTAGGGAATGATGGTAAATCAGTTGATAAGGTTGTAAAACTTCATCGACTGTGTTGCGTATGCCTGAACACCAATTACCACGACGCGCAATGCTGACTAGTGTTGAAAACGAGTGGAAGAATGTTAGGGGCGGCCAAACAAAAACGTGGCATCAGTCTATAAAGTCACTAACCTCTGATATGAGCCATGTTGGTAGATGCAGACTACTTGGTTGAGGTCTGCGTGACTATCGTAACCAATGGTTGGAGACTTTATGTGACATGGCTCAGAATCGATCACAATGACGTCGGTGTGTACCCTCTTTGTTTTCCCTTAAACCGCGAGATTAAAATCGCTTCATATCTTTCTTTCTACGAACTAATTCTCTCTTCCTGCACCATATCCTTATACACAATCTTTCTTTGATAATATAACTACTACTGAAGTAACTATTTCTATGAATTCAGTTTTGTTTAGATTTAATCAACGATTTGATACCGTAATTAGTATCATTTTTTGTGGAGACATTCAACTTTCTTTTACGGAAAAAATGTTTGCTGTTATTGGGGTTTCGCTTTGTGTAAGATAGTTTGTTAAGTGTAATGAAAATTTTAAGAGGAGACAAATTTTACTTTTTTTTGTGATTTGTGACGAGTGAGAGAGAAAAAATATATATATATGCTGCCTTTATAGGATCATTTGTTTTGTTATCGTTTTTAACAGTTGCTTTTTATTTGAGTGGAATTTTAAGAGGTATATTTGCATATACCTAGCATGATATTGTACACTATAATGGTTTATCTATTCTTTGTCTATCTGTGCTACTTTCGTACCGCGTAAAACTTGTAGGTTACACCTGTTCCAAGTGAATAATATGGAAAAAATGACAATTAACGTTTTTCTTGTTAAAACTTAAGAATAACAACGTTTAAATGGTACTGATTTGCATGGTTAATCACCTTTTTTTCTTGGTCGTTGTCGCGAAAGATAACAAACGCCTTAAATGTTAGACTGAAAGATTAACGAACTTTCTACAATTTTACTAAAGCTCTAAACAGTTATTACTCAATCTGGTAAATTCAAAGTAAATCACTTTTGTCTTTTTTCTTGTTTTCGACTGTAAAAGTAATAATTCCGTAGTTTGTTTAAATAATCAACAATTGGATTGTATGTTTGAATCCCGCTTTATCTCTATTGGTATCGTTTTCATCAATTTGCACTATCTTTATTTGTGTTTATTTTTCATTTCCAAACGATATTTCCCTGTCTTCATAAACGTGCATAATATTATGTAGTACAACTTTGTTGGACGAATTCTTGGTCCTCACGGATCCACTGCTAAATGTTTACAGCAATTTTTAGGAGTAAGAATTATGATTCGTGGTCGTGGATCTATGCGAGATCAAACAAAAGTGAGTTGTGATTGAATCTTGTTTTTCTAAAGTGAGGGTTCTTGTTTTCTACTGAAATTTATTTAACATTTATGTGTTATTATTTTTATTTGAATAGTAAATTTTGTGAAATTGCGTATTCATTCAGAGATTCTGTTAACAGGTCATATATTGGAAATAACCCATGTCTTATACAGTATGATATTGGGGTCCGCTGGTTGCCCCATTTCCAGCCAATCAGCTCTAGGAGATATATAAAGAAGACTCTAAAATATTCTTGTGTATAAATTATAAGTTTACTAACATTTCGCCTTATGATTATTACTCTCATTCAACTTGGTTTATTTAAAGTCTAATTTTGTCCCTGTTCAAACGTGTTCTGATTTTTGGGACTAGTCGAGTAATGTATCCGAAAAATACTAAGCAGTAAGAGTAGCGGGATCGTATAGAGGTTTTAAAATATTTTTTCTAAGAATCTATCAGAATGAACGTAGTTATTTGTTTGATAACTAACGTTATTTTAATCGTTAATACTGAATTATGAATAATTATGGTAGTGTATTATTAGTATGTTACGATTTCTAACTGTTCACTAACAAGAGTGAGGACAGTTACAAGCTCCTAATAGTCTTGTAAAAGTACTTTGAAATTAGTAGGTCCAAAGCACATGTCGTACTTAAGGGCACTGATCACGTGCGGATTGCTTGGCTTGAGTATCATTACACAGTAAAACATCATCCACATAAATCGATAAATTATGTATATATTGAAGTAGACTTTCATTAATGTCAGTACGTCTCCATTGTGCGCAATATTTGATTTCATGGAAGGTAGAGAATCCTTGCGATTTTGGTAATATCACTAAATTTACCTTATTTCACTCAATGCTGTCTCAAGCTAAAAAGTTTACATCTTCTAGCACCAATCAAACCAGCAGCCAATGATTTTATGGACCAATGTCATTCTCTTGATTTACCAATTATCTTTTTTCAACTTACTCCTAAGCGTCATTCTACACGTTAGAGTAAGTAGTAGTGTAGGTATACGTAAAACTTGTTCCGTTCATGTTTGTACAATATTATTTTCGTAGGGTTAGAATTCATTTAAACATTCGAATACCAATGTTCTTATTTGTCCAGTGTAAGGTCACTGCAAATAGCTGAACGTATTTACACTCCTAAATTGTTTTATTTTATTTTTTTTTAGAAAAAAAATGTAACTGTAGATTGTGTGAGGGTTTCACAACTTCCTGTTATATGTCTTTGTAAGGAGCATATTTCTTCAAAATACGATATAGTTTTGCACAGATAGTCTTCTACGTATTTGGATTCAAGTTCGTTATAAATATCACACTGAGTGTTAATGTTAATATGATGCACTTCTACATTATTTTATTCAGGAAAAAATCTCCCAAAGTATCTGTCACATACTTAGGGATATAATGTACACATTCTAAGTCAAAACGGTATATATGCAGAAGTTGTACTTTTGTACTCCGATAGTAAATAATGATTTTGAATTACCAATACAAACATTTTAAATTAGAGGTATTCTAAAAATTAAAGCTCAGAAGCCGATAGAGTGGTGAGAGGAAAAAAAGAAATTATGGTATATGTTTAGACAGCGGTTTAACAATCTTTCTAGATTACAGAATCATAATATCACAAACCAAATGCATAGTTTGACTATCCCAGTAATGCATAAAAATTTATTGTCTAAGGTCGAAAAAATCTAAAATAATACTGTAATTAATATACACAACTTTCTGACTAGTCGAGAGAACTGGCATAAAACTCAGTCAACTATTTATTTAGTCTGGAACCTGACTTGGACATACAGTGGTATTCAACATCAGATAGCCTGGCGTCAGATAAGGGGGTGAGCGTTCGGTCCTGAAAAATATCGTTATGAGTTATCTGCAGGCGTTTATTTGGCAAACGGGTTCGAAGGGAAGAGTTATTAAGAGGTTTATGTACTTCTTTAATATCCCTTTCAATAGAAAATGATAATATAAACCTGACCAATCATTGGAATCGTATAAGGCAGGTTAAGAAATACAGCGACTGTCGGTAAGTATGTCTATGCTTCAGAACTTGAAGATCGAAATTTAGGTGACTGCATCCATTTCCTGATTAAAGAATGGTCTGGATTTTTCAAGTTTACTGTTTCAAAGTCCTACCTAAGTATCAGATAACTCTAAATGCCATTATTTTAAAAACTGTATTAGTTGAATAAGTCCTTCTGTTCTTTCTTATAAGCCCGGACACAATCAGTGATCTCACTCAGTTTCACGAAACTTCCCCAAACTTCTAATTTCAACTAAATTCTGGCGCCTAATTTAGTTGTAAATTTATACTGTTAATTAATAGGCAACTGGAAAGTAGATGGAGGTTATTTGAACTCTTTACCAAAGTCCTTCACTTACCTAGGCACCATGGGGCAACTCTCTGAATCTCAACCAGCTTATAGATTGAAAACAATCTCACTATGTGAGTGTATTCTTGACATAGATCACTGTTCATCATTACATTGTTATTTCATAATATTTATATATTCACAGCTGAAATCATGAGTCAATCTAAGCTAGACCACCATTGAAAACCTGGAAGCACTGGACGGCCGTTTCTTCATAGTATGGGACTCCCCAGTAATGCGTATCTACGATCTCGCACGCGGGACTCGAACCCATGACCTTCGGTCTCGCGCGCAAACACTTAACCTCTAGACCATCAAGCCGGAACCCTACGGTGTTAATCTCTAATTTCAATTAACCCATGATCTTGCGCAACCCTCCATCCGTTGGATGAGGTAGACATCTGTCTCACACCCGACTTTGATTGAAATCCACTGGTCACAGCTTTTCTTTATTATTTATCAAGAGAGTGTTATCAAAGAAATTCTACTCCAGAAGTATCTATTTTTTTCTAAATGTCTGCGAAAAAACAAAACCATTTTCTACTTTAAATTAGTTTATCATCGACTTTGTTTTTCCATCTCACACCACATTGAACATGAACAAAATTTAGATTAATGACCATCATGACAGTAGAAATAATTGAAATATACATTAGGAAAGTCAACAAACCCACATTCTTATTGAATCAACTTTAATTCATTGTTTCATAATTCATTGTTTAAATAATCGAAATCAGTACATCTTTCTGAGTAGGCTGCATCATAATATTTAAGTGGCGATTAAAATTATGTTCAACACGACTTGATTTATTCAGCTATTTTACTCTTTTTACTATTCCTTGTGAGTGGTGGTTGTTAAGCCAGTCAAATAGGAAGTAATCCATCAATACACAAGTCAGTACATGTGTAGGAAAACATTATCTTCCCATCAAAATTGAAGTGTGGACTCATTATTCATGAGATAGTTCTGTTGTATTCGATTTCAAGTTTGTCATTGATAATAAATTATTCACATTTGTAGGTAAGGATAACAAACTGACTGATGAGGTAATGATTCATCTACTGAAGTGGTTCAGACATGTATTGTTACAAATATCCAACAATTGCCTATTTCGACGTGCGATATTCACTGGGGTAGCAATAGGTTGGAATAAAGTTATCTATATAGGCAAATCAAATCATGATATCAGTCAATGAAGTAATTGACTTTTGAGTCAGATCATGTTGGCAGATACAAACTACCTGGTTGAAGATGTGTGACATGACTCATATGCATTCAATTATTGTCTTCCCTCAAATATTAATTTTTAAAAGTACCGTACATATTTTATTCTGCGGATTCATTTCTTTAAAAATCATAATGTCCATGCCTGGTCTATCTAATTAACACTGACATTATTACTACTTGTACTAATACTCTAACATTTGTCTTCACAATCACATCTCGCTTTGTTGATGTAATCTGGAAACTGAAACCAATCTAAATATTTACCAGATTCTACCGTTGCTAAATGATTATTCCAACACTACTGAAAACTTGGAAGCACTAGGCGACCGCTTCGTTCTAGCACGGGGCTCCTCAGCAGTGCGTATCTACGATCGGCTATTCATTCAAATTTTTGTATTTCTGTCATTGTTCATATTATTTAAAAAAACACTTATTTTCTATTCTCCATGGTATTTGAATTTAGGTTGGAGCAAATTTTGTTCGGCCAAACTCGGAGCATCATTTAAATGACAATTTGCATGTTCTAATTACTGTTGAAGATTACGAAAATCGTGCTAAAGTTAGACTTGAAAAAGCCAGCGAATATATTAGTATGTTTCTACAGGAAAGTGTAAAAGTAGTAAGTACAATAAATCGCATTTTAGTCTTATTTTTCTTCTTGTGTGAGACATATTTCAGGCTTTATGCATGTGTGTGTGTGCTCAGAATAAATGCATTTTTATAGCGTGTTGAAACTTGTGACTTCAAATTTCTTAGGTAATGTCAGACAATAATCTTGAATAAAATGTGAATGATAAAGCTGATTATGATATATAATTTTGTAATGATTGTTATTAACTTGAAAATAGACAAGTAACTAGTGACTGGACATCATCGTGTCAAATAATAATTATTGTTGTCATATCGATCAAAAGATATATACAAAAAAGAGGACTAGTGACTTAATGGTTAAAATACTCGACATTTAACTACAGTGTCACTGATTTATATTCCGTACCACCAACTCGACGTAGTTTTGTACATTTAGTTTTTCACATTGAATCGGGACTCAAAGCACTTGTTTACTGAGTTACGTTAGATGAATTTAAACTTAAATGCATTTCTATTTTTTTATAAGCTAGTATTAAGAAATTTGTCTCAGAAAAAAACATGCTTAGTGAATGTAAAATAGGTATTACAACCAGCGTACATGTCATTACTAATATTTATACATCTTTCTATTTCTATGGTCATATTAATGAGATTTAAACTCATTTTAACTTTTCATTGATTGCCTGATTTTATTACCATAAATTGCTTTCTTCTCTCTCTTGGTAAGCGAAAGTGTTGTTTTCCCCACAATCATTTGTGTACAATGCATTACCACGTGTTGTATTGTCAGCATTAACGTCAAAATGATCTATTTTCGTGAATATATATTGTCATTTTTATTACTTTTCAAACTACCTATATGGTTCTGTATTTATTTATTTATTCATTTCTATTTTTCAATCTCGTGATATAATAACACATACATGCAGATGATAGTTACTACTTACTATCACTACTACTACTACTACTACTACTACTACTACTACTACTACTACTAATAATAATAATAATAATAATAATAATAATAATAATAATAATAATAATAATAATAATAATAATAATAATAATAATGATAATAATAACGATGATAGTGATAGTAATTAGTTTTAACTGTGTACACAGTATACTTTAATTTAAAGTGATTTATTCTACTCTTTAGAATAGTTATGCCGTTGTTTGTATACAAACTGTCACTATTCATCTTGTCATTTCCATTTCACTTGTTTCACTCAGTGATAATAATGTTGAATATCTAGTGATGAGAGTTTATCAGTTACGTTCACAGTAAGGTTGAGAAACTTGCGAATAAATATGTAGATAAATGAATAGAGAAGTAGGTAGGCAGTTATAATTTGCTTCACAGATTGGTCTTAATTAGAGAGAGCTATTGGAAACTAGGAAGCATTGTACAACCGTTTTACGTTAGTGTGAAGGACTCATCAGCTGCGCGTATTCACGACCTTCACCACAGAGTATCGAATGCGAGGCCTTCAGGCCCCAGGATGAGCATTTAGGCTTTACACCATTAGGCCGGAACTTCATAGTTTATATGTCTAAATAACTTCAGTCAATCCGTGTTATTGTGCGACCATCTTAATACCATTCGTGGATAAATGCTCAACATGTGGTATGATCATAGTTTCTCACTAGTGTTGTAACAAGATGAAAAGTTTATTAAAATACATGAACATTAGTACAAGCAGGCACCAAATGTGTGTGTGCTACACTTCATTTGATTTGTGTGAGGGTTGGAATACTGCCCGGACGCCCAAACCGAAGCAGATGGTTTCTTAGAGGATCACACCTCAAGCATTTAGCCTAGAGATTTAATTCATAAGACAGTGGGGCAACGTTGAGAGATGCAATCCCATGGTAGCCGGTGACCATCGATTGGTTCATACACCATTCGTTCCCTCAGAATCCTGGAGCTCTTGTGTACCAGTGGTTTGGAATCAGGACTTTCCAATCCCTCTATATGGATTCTCCATATCTACTAACCCAGTTAAAGCACCAGACATTCGCTTTTCGTCCTCTCAATTTCGTAAACAATACCCCTACTACGAGAAGACAGTTAGCAGGACATCCCTAGAAGTGGCTGTATACGCGTAGCCATGTGAGAGCATTTGGAGAGGGAGAGCTGACTCTCTCCTCCCTTTACCGTACCATAGCATTTAGAAGCACGAATTCGTGGGGCATTTGGAACTTTTGGAACCATCTTTTGAATTATTATTGTTTATATTTTTGTTGTATGGTAAACATGTAATTATTAGTTAGGTAGATCTACATTTGCTATGCGCGAAGAATTACATGATATGTGTTATATCCGAGTGGAGATTAAATCACAGGTAACTCCCGAGGACTATTCATGGACTAATATTCTATAAATATTCTTATTTTATAACTACTCAACAATCACACTATGTATATTTATATCCCTCTTATGACAAGCTTTATTTTGGCCTATAATTTATTATTGTACGATTTACGGTTCTTAAGTTATGTTCAGTTTATTAACTACTGCCTCCCACATTCACAGCCACTTTTTGGGCTTATTTGTGTACAAATATTATTTCCTATTTTATGGTACGTTGCGGTCTGTGTGATTGATATATAAACCAAGTATGCGTGAAATAAACGATCTGCTCTGATTCGGAAGCTGGTATCTTGTTCTGGACTCAAGTGGAAGGGCTCGTAGGGCATAGGACCAATAAGGACGCTAAACTGCCCACACCGGTCGAACGTCATTGGTTGGCCTAGTGTGAAGATTCGTATAAGTCGTATTCGGATTGGTAGATAAGTCGTGCGATAGAAAAACCAGACCTACAAAGCCATAACAATATGTTGGGATAGAAATCTCTCTAATTGATTGATTTATAATTCGTTGGTTTTTCATCATAATTTAAGTAACGTTGTCATTCGACCGAATTATTTATACATAGTTTTTCGTTGTGGATTATTGATTTTATATGTAGGGCTGTCATCTAAAATACTTATGTATTCAAGCTGTCTTATGTAAAGAACAATAGCCTTCTAGGTATTGATGGCAATACTATGTTCTGCCAGATATTTATGATGAAGCTAATATTATCATGTGATTGAGGAATCCTAGTTAGTGAAAACCTTTAGAGTAAATAATCTTGTAAATTAGTTTTACTAAAGACATTCAGTCACAATGACTACAAATTGCATTATATGTATGAAGTATTGTTCAAAATAACTGAACTTTTTATTTGTAAAACGTTCTTTCAAAAAAATTGATTCATCTATTTTCGACTTTTTAAATCAGTTTCTCATTATCAGAAACGATGTGTGTTTGCTTTAGAAGGTGATTTTTCCTGGGCATCAATTTATTTCCCTCAGGTTGTTTGACTTCTTTTATACCACTCCGCATAACTACCACTTAAGTGATTGCACAGGTTTTACTAGGTTGATTAAAAGGTGTTATCGAAAAACAATCTATAAATGGATAACATTTGTATACCTATCTAATATCCAACGAGGATTACTAACAATATGATTTGTTTAAGAGTTAATTTTGAACAAACATCAGACCTTATCGATTTACTCTGCCAACACAATTAGCATTTAGAAATGTAAGCAAGGATTTCATGCTTTTTTCCATTCATACGAAATCGTTTGCACTTCATATGATAGCCGAATAGACTATTTATTTGTCGACGATCAATAGCTAACATTGCAGTTCAAACTTCGCTCTTAAACCTAAAAGCTGATTGATTTGATAGTATACTTCTCCCTTAATGTATATCGTAATGGTTTTTTACAGTAGAGATAAATTGTTTTAAGTGAAATACAATCTTTATCGTTGTTAAACACATTATACACGACCTATGGTATTTATTATTTTAATACCAAATCATTCGAAGAAGCAAAATAGTTTAGGATTTAATCCATAAATTAGAGTTTTTGGAGTTTGTTCATGAACGATTTAAACCCGTTTTGTCTTTACACAGTTAAAATCACGAGTCGATCTATGCTAGACCACTGTTAAAGACCTGAAAGCACTGGGCAGCCATTTCGACCTAGTATGAGACTCAGCAGTACACGTCCATGATTCCGCACTCGACACTTAAACCTCAGGATCTTCAGTCATCGTGATCAAAATTGGAAGTATTCCAATGTACCTCATATTTTTATAGGTACTATCTATCATGTGTATATGTACATATATCTTCTCATGTCGTGTGTAATAACTTTCCTTGTTCTCTCTCCCTCTGTCTCCACACACTCATACACACACAAAACAGTCGGATAAGGAAGACAAAGTGAAAATGATGCAATTAATGGAATTGTCCATCCTTCGTAAAGGTATAGTAGATTATCCATTGACTTTTATGTTAACAGCTTGCTGTTATTATTGTTGTAGTCTAATCACAGCACACTGCCAACGATAATAAATAAAGTCTCATAACACTAATCGAACGGTATTAATGCATTAAAAATAGGTATTTTATAAATAACACTAACCAATTTTGTGTAAATATAACCCATACATTAATTCGTTTTGTTTGTTTACCTCGTTCTGTGTGATCGAACAGATTTTCTTTAATTGTAAACTAATCTCGTGCGTGTGTGTGTGTGTTTCTTTAACATTTTTATTTCGAAGAAAAGTTTTTTCAGCTTCCGGTTACAATGATGAAGGATGTAATCTGTTGTGCAATTCGATAATTTTTTGGAGGAGTTTTGTTTTCTGAACTGGATGGTTTAATCATGAAGCCTTCATTGTTCTTCTGAGCAACATTATCAGTACAAAGTTCAGGTAGAAGTGAACTACTTTAATTGACAGCTTGTGTTGTTGATTTTGGTTTTGATTGGTTATTACTGATCTGATGCTTCTGCTGATGTTCTTTGGAAGAACAATAAAAGCGTTATGATGAAAGAACTAATTGTAAGAACTAAACTTCCATCAAAGTCATCCAGTGAAATACAGATCTTCACCATCTGAATTTGACGAGTGAACTGGTGATGTACTCTTAACACATCAACTTCTCTGAGTAATTCATTTACTGAAGAATCTTTCATTTTACCTGTTTTACCTTGCACTTGCTGGATGAATAAAATCTGAACTGTTCAAGAGTGGTTCACATGTTATGATGTGCAGTTAGGCCACTAAGTTCTAGGTTCGAGTCGCGCCGAATATATTTCTGCTTGGGCAACGTTTTAGTAACACCAACTTCTGAACTTGAAGTGTGGGTCAATGCCCGATATAATTGACTATAAATAGCATGATAATTCATCATGTTATATATGAACGCACATTTCAATAAATTTTACTAGTTGTGTTAGTAAAGGGTTGTTGACAATGTCGAATTCGATTAAAAATCACTAGCCACCATTAAAAACCTGGAAACACTGGACGACCGTTTCGTCCTAACATGGACTCCTCCACAATGCGCATCCGCGACCACGCACATGGGACTTTCAGTCGCACAGACGAACACTTAATCTCTAGACAATTGGGTCGGCATCCATTAGTGTTAATTTATAATTCTAACAACCTACGATATTTCATGACCATCTTCCATTGTGTTCGGTGCTTATCTACCTCACACCTGACACAGTTGAAATCCACTGATCGCGACTTCTCACTAGAACTCTAGAAATTTTCTCGCAAAACTAGTCACTGGGCCAAAGGTCGTCATTGTAAACTTTTTATTCTTCTGTTTGTACTGTCATGTTTTCTCGTTGTTGTTTTTTTCAATGAAATAGTATTTATACTTTATTCTGTCTATTCAGTTAAACGGTTTTCTAAATTTTGTACGTGAGAAAAGCCTGATAGAATTACTTTACTGAGTTTATATTCGAGTAGTTTTTTTCTTTCAAATATTCAACTTAACGAAAAAGTTCTATTTTTCAAGTAGTGTGTATCAGTATTCTTTTTCTAATATGTGTAACTAAATAACCGTCTTGTGATTGGTTTTATCATCATCATCTTAAGACTGTCTATATTTTCTGATTTGGTATAGTGTGTTCTAATAATTTTTCGAAAGAAACAAACATTGGAAAGCAGCTCGAATAAACTATTCAGTTCAGAAAGTCTAGCATCGTTAACTTCGTCCTGCTGAGCAGTTGTAGCATCTTCATTATTTCATACATTCACACCGATTGTTATTAACCGATGTGATAATCTTTATAGGTTTTATATAGTTTAACTGAATCTTTCTTCATTTTATACATTAAAATTGGACAGTAGAGACTTAGCTTACTGGATGATAAGTGATAATACATGATTAATATATATATGAATGTGGATCGTATTCATTCATTTAAAAAACTATCCATGTGGAATAATTGATTGTTTTTGTAAATGGATATTCGGTCTTGTTTTGGTTTGACCACTCCTCTAGGTTTCTTATTAATTTAATTTAATCGCCTAATGATGGGTAAATTATGCACATTTAGCTAAAAAAATTCTTTACCTCAGACAAAGGTTAACTGTTTAGCAATAATATCCCTATTAAGAAGTTTTTATTAATAACTTTTAGGCCTATTTAAAAAAATATTTCTAAATATAGAAAGTTATTAGTTGAAGTTTTATGTTTCCTTGTGCGGTTACTTGTGTCTACTTGACTAACTGATTGTCGTGTTACTGTTTTAATTGTGTGGTTGATTGAACTTTCATCCCACCGTCATGTGATATATATATCCCAAGTTGTTTACACTGATATTCGACCTTTATCAGAGAGATCTTCCTATTGTAATTGGTCGATGATGTGATGGGATTAACAAGTGAATTGTTTTTTAGAGAGCCAATTAATCTTCATTGCACCAGCCTTTCGTGTTCCTGTTTATGTCGTTGGAATTACCGTGGTTCTTGTTTCGAATTGTGAGTAGTAGGATCAAGGAATTAGAGTGGTTTCCAACTATCGAGTATAAGCAATATGACTGCGGATCCAACATAGTCTGTACGCCAGATAAAATATTTGGTTGAAGTTGTAGGCATCATTCAGTGTGACTAATTTGAGCTTTTCATTAACGTGTGTTATAATTGCGTCATTGAGAAAAAAGACTTGTTTTAAGGTAACCTCTAAACATCGTAATTTAGTGCTGTCTATTTATTAAAATAAAATTCGTACTGTGGTGGTTTTAATTTAACCTTCACATCTATTCCAATATTAATTAATAAAATTTCATAGTTTAAATCACGAACTATTTTAAGCTAGTGTACATGTCGGGTGTAAAATATTTGTACATTATTGGATGTTGGCTCGGTAGTCTAAAGGTTAAGGGTTGCGCACGAAACAAATGGTCCTAAGTCCGATTCCCAGACCGAGGATCGTGGGTGCGCACTCGTCAGGATTTCCATACTAAGTCGAAACGGCCGTCGGGTGCTGTTTCCAAACAAAGGTTTGTAACTTTCCGTTGGTGATATCCACAACTGAGATTGATTATCAGTCTCAGTAGATATATGTGTGCACCTTGAGCGGATTACCTATATATTATTTGATCTCACAAGTTTTAGTTTACTTTGTGTTTAAATATCAATGAAATGCAGGTTTTACGTGTCGTCGTATTTGAGAGTCATCAACTGAAGGTGCCTAGATCTCGGTATTGGTGTTGAAACTGATCATTTACAGTCCTGAGTATCAACAAAAGGAAACTACAAACGCTTACTGATATCTCCACACCCTTTGAGCACTTTAGAAGCTGTCCTTAGATCTAGTAGCTTAGTGAATAACACGTGTATTTGAAGGAAAATGTGGCGAGTTCGAGCTTCAATACCAACGTTAGAATACGGGTCCATAAGTCTAATGAGTCCAAAATGGGATGGAACGAGTATCATAAATTCCACTGCTAAGTACATACCAAGTATACTAAAAGTATTTTATACTTTTCGATAAACAAAGTATTTGGAACCGACGCAAAAAGAATCATACAAAACCTCAGTAAATTGTTTTTTGGTTGATATAGAATTCTAGAATTTAATGACTAGTTGATATTATGATCTCATGATTTTAACTATTGTAACAAATTTGACAGTTTACGGAAAATAATTAAAAGTATTGTTTTTGCTTACGTAACTCTTCATCTGTTGTGTTATGCTCTTGTTAATACTGACAATTTTTCTGTATTGTACACGGTTTTATCTGCTTTTTTTCTTTCTACTGAATCTCGTTCCACAGCTTGGCCAATAAATTTCACCAAATTATCGAAATTTAATTTCCAATCAAGAAGAAATACACTTTTTGATAAATCAATCACTATAGGTCATACCAGTGGATACATATCTGGACCGTATACATCACCAGCTTTACAACATGGTCAACATTTTCTACCTTTTCCAAATCCACACCTTCAAGATCATCCTCAAGAAAGTCATCAACAACGGCAACAACAACAGCCTATTGATATTCCTACTGGTCAGTCACGTTGTGATCCCGGTGGATTTTCACCATATCATCATTATCAAAATAATTTTGTATTTCCATCTCCCGGTTCATGTGATCTTGATGCTACAATGTATTTACATAATGACTGTGGTCGACGTGGTTTTACAGGATATTTCGGATCGAATTGTCAACATATACAAAAGCAAACACTATCGACCACACCAAGTATACCTATGGCACCCTTAGCCGTCAGTTATTGGTCATGCACATATCCTAGTTTACCATCTCCAGATTATCCTATTCAACACTCAGAAATGAATCGTAACCCTACTACTGTCAACACAAACAGTCGACAACCATGTCATATTCATGAACATTGTCCTTCGGACAATGTAATATCTCATAATTTTATAAATAGTTTACCACAACCAAATTATACAACACCGTTGATGATTCATTCACCGCGACAACAATGTCCTCAGAGTAATCAATATTTACCATTCCATGGAAAACAACTTGTTCCATCAAATAAGTTGACAAGTCAAGTGCGTATTAACTGTGTTAGTAACTCTCATAACACTAATCAAACGTGTCGCCGTCATCATCATCAAAATGGTAGCACCTATAGTGGTGGGTCCGTTGAAGAGTTTCATAAAAGGTTACAAAAGCATTCATCAGGCGATGAAAGTGTTCTTCACCATCATAAATCAGAAGAATTTATTCACAATAGTGTAATTATTGATGATAACAATAAAAATAATATTAATGATAATAATAATAATAATGATAGTAATGATAATCATTCACTTTCTATCGGTGCGTTAAAACGAAACCCTACCAATCGAATAAAGAAATTTCATTCTGATAAGTGTAGAACTATAATTACTACTAGTAGTAGTAGTAACACTCACAATACTACTGCTTCTACTAATCATATAGGTCATCATCAACAGCGATTCAATGGTCAAGCAAGTACCAATGAAAATGTTGTCATTACCTCTCGTAGCAGTCATAATTCGATTCATGCTCTTAACCCTACTGATATTGCTAAAGTAAATAATGATAATAATATCCGTAAAAGTACTAAGAATTGTTTAAATGAACAGGAACAACAGTACCAACACGAGTATTATGATGGTTATACAACTGGGATGGAAAAAGTTAACAGTATGCCTCGTAATGAGTATAAAAAGAACAGTTTCAAGTCTAGGACTAATCATACTAATACCACTACCAATACTAATACTTGTATTAGTCATAATAATGCTATCATTACATCAACTATTAACTCTGTTACAAGTAGAATTAAAACAATCAATCAAGATAAAAAGTATTTTATTAAAAATACTGAGGTTAATATAATAAAAAGTACTCCGTCTAACAGAAAATTATCTGATTCAAGCTTAAAACCTATTGGATTAGTTACAGATGAAACAGAGTGGCCAAGACTTGGGACTAGTGTGAATTCACTTCAAGTAAGTTAATATTACTAAGATAAATTTTACTGTTTTGCTTTTGTTATTTTGTATGTACATTGAACAATTTTAGTTAGTTTTAATACTTATAAAATCTGATATAAATGGTAATTAAAAATCGAATAACATTGTGGTGAACTCATGGATATATATATATATATATATATATATATATATATATATATATATATATATATATATATATATATATGAACATCCGAACTAGAGCAGTTAGTCTTCTTAAGAGGTCGGTCCCCCGGCCCTTTCACTTTGATATATAATACAAAAGGTAGTGGGGCAATATCAAGCGATACCGTTCCATGATAGCCGGTAGTCAGGATGAATTCATACTCCATTCGCTTCCCCAAGATCCTGCAGTCCATGTACACCATCGGTTTAGAATCAGGACTTCCTGAAGCTCTAGCTTTGTATAACCGCGACTAATGTTCATACACATCGGAGGCAAATTATTTGTTGCCAACACCATTGGTTGATCATCGCGTTGTATGATAAATGGGCTGAAATTGGAAATGTGTAAGTCAGTCATTTGCAACGCAAAACCCTGTACATATGTGCATCGGTTTAAGCTACCACTCGATTTTCTAATGGTTAAGAACTCCTTGTAAGACCTCGAGCCAAATAGTCCTATCTATATCGAGGTCTTTATTATTTCGAATGGATCCTTAATTGAGACCATTCTATTACCAAGGCCATATAATGTGATAATCTCGAATACATACTGGCTCTAAATTCGCCTATGTATAGAATTTAACTTATAGATTATCAATGGCCTTGGTACATTAGACTTCTGTTTACAACCTTGTGACAGCTTGTATGTATTCGGCTATGAGTATTTTGACATTATAACCTGACTATCCCAAAAACTGATTAAGTAATCTTTTGTTGACTCTGATTGTCTGCTTTGACACTTCCTTTTTCGCAAGCCAATAATGAAAAAAAGAAATATTTAGACAAATTTCAGCAAAAGTCTAGTGTAAGGATGGAATCAAAACAACCACGGTAAATTTCCAGATAGTTTATAACCAATCAAAAAACAGGTTTTGTATGTGGATAGTTTATGGAAAAGAAAATAACAATATTGCAAAGTATGAACAGATTTACATAATTATTAAATCTATTCTCGTCTTCTGCATGTTACTCTGTTTCTAAATAAAAAACAACAAAATTATGAATATAGTTTGTCCGTCTTTTGCAACTTAAAAATGCCAAACGAATTTTTACGGGTCTTCACATTGTCCTTAATTATGATTGGGGTTTTAGAGTTAGTTTTCATCAGGCAAGGTTTAAAAGTTCGGTCCTTTCGAAATGTGCCCGCCCTTTCGCTTCAACGAACTTGAACGGCTTGACTAGAGGCGGTCATTCCGTATTTCAATTGCCGTGGGTTGGTTGGATTGCATGAGTATCAAGTTTTTTCATATATAAGTCATCTTATGCTACATAAAAAAGCACGAAATAAATACCAAAACCATTAATTTAGCGTTCTCTGTTTTGTAGTGTACACTTTGGATCTGTTGTTGCTTTGTAATTTGATCTTAGATCCCAACAACTGTAGTAAAGCTCAACGAAATGTCAAGTCACAGGTAAATCCTAAGTATTTGTAGTATTTCCTTGGGTTATTATTGTTGCAAGGAATAACTTTTTAATAATTAGTCATGTCTGTTTTTAGTGCTTCATGCTCAAGTGACATTTCAGTCGACCTAACCGATGCCTTTCGAAGTATGATACTGAACAAGCGTTTCGTGTTGTGGGATGATTTTGAAAGCGCCTTTAAAGAGTTCCAAAAAGTATGGAATTATAATTTTATCACTTCTCAGACTACTTATACTCGTTACATCCACACGAAAGCAGATTGCTGAAGGATGTCAGGTTCAAATACCTGTTTGTATCGTTTAATTGTACGTTTGGTCATAAACGGAAATCGGAAGGTTTGAAAGTGAGGCAAAAATCGTAAGATCTTTAACTAATATCTTATGTTTAAGGTCTAAATTCCGTAATTGTCAATCTAAATTCCGTGTAAGACTAGAGGAGCAAGGATATGTCATCAAATCCTACAACATGCTCCACAATCATCCATGTAGTAGTTCATGGATGGTATGTGATCCATGGACAAGGAGATTATCGTCAAAAGAAAAAGAGAACTTGAAGCTCGTAATACTTCACTGTGAGTCAGCAGATGAAGTTATCGAAAGTATTAAGGAGAGAACTGGTAAGCAAGTAACTGCTGCCGATGTCAAAGGTATGAAAGCTACACTCTCCACTGGTAAGTGTATATAAATATATTTCAGGTTGTTTTACTCGGAACCAGGTAATGGATATGCCACCAGAATATGTTTCAGTAGTTATAACCAAATACAACTGTACAGGAAATATCCAGAAGTTGTATGCATTGATTCTACGTATAATACTAATAATAAAAAGTGAATATGTTTATCGTTGTATTTTACTATGTAGATATTCCTTATTCCAGTTAGTGGTGACGGATAATTGCGGTCGAGGTCGAACTGTAATGTTTGCGTGGACTCGAAGGGAAAAGCGTGCCGATGTGATATGGATTTTAGATCAATTCAAAGAGATAATGGGTGACACAATGTTGACTGAAACATTTATGATGGATTGCGCACGATGTGAAAGCGCGGCTGTCTGTATAACACACGGACATGCAAACATAATTTTGTGCGCCTTTCATGTAATTCGCGCTTTCCGGAAAAAGATACACCAATGGTTACTTATATAAAATTGCCCTTAGACAAACGACAAAATAATGAAAACGTACTTAACTCGATTGGTAACTGCGGAGACGGTCGGAAGGTAATTTTTGTAATGTGTTTATTCACTAGATTTAATCAATATTACAGAATAATAAATCGGCGGGACAGATTGATAGGTCAGTACCTGTCACGTTTTTGGATGGCACGTAAGACAATGTGGGCGCGTGCCTTTTACGGTCATGTTTTAACATTGGGTAACAGCACGAATAATCGTGTTGAATCGCTAAATAGGCAAATAAAACGATATGTACGAAAAAGTGATAGTCTGTACAAATGTATGTACAAGGCTTTACAATGGAGTGAATTGACGTCAACTAGAAGAAGTATCGAAGATCAAGTGATAGCCGGAAGATCTTATAAATATAATGCTCCACAGCGTCTTATACCCCTGCTAAACATTTTGACCCCATTCTCAAGATCTAAATCGTTATACGAACTTAAACAAATGCGTTTCGTCTACGTGGAATATGAAAGCGGCGACTGGTTGTTTATGGTTGACCGCGGACAACATTATGAAGTGGATATAAGCATTTGTCAATGCAATTGTAGCACGTTCATGATGTGTCGATATCCCTGCCGTCACATGCTACTTGCCTACGTTAAAAGACGAAATCTTACAGGTAAGCTATATCAATTATGAAATACTAACTGCATAGCTCATCAACTTCTTAGGTATTGTAGCAGATGGAAGTTACATAATACCCAGAACTTCCAAAATTATACATTAACTGCATTACCACGACGGAGTGAAGTGTATATAAGTATTCAACGAAGCCAAACAATCCATAAGCATCGCATCATTGAGAAGTATGGTGAACGTTTCGCAACGGAAGTTGAGAAGAAAGTGGACAATTATTACTTAAGAATTCTTAATACCAACTTGTAGACTTGATGTGATTAGTTCCGCTTATGAATTTAAATGAAACCAGGAGATAACCTACTTCATTTCGATTATTCATAGTCAGGTATGTCAGGTATGTTTGCCACATCACTGTTAAATCCTAATGCATATTTAGTTATAATGAATGCATACCGCTGTTAATCAACATTTCTCCTGGTTTCATTTTAATTCATAAGCGGAACTAATCACATGAAATTAAAATCTACTTAGCTACTGATACGATTTTAATGATAAACGTAATCCGATGAAGGTGAATATGATATGTGGGTGCCTAATCTGCAAGACTGTACGTGGATGTAGGATTTCTTAATCATTCTTAATTATTACAAACAGTTACACATGAACATCATTGCTATTCATTCCCATGAAAGTAGGAATAAGATGAAAATTAAAATTATGAAAGTTTATTGAATAATCATTGCTGCTAAAGCAGAAAATCAAGTCTACAAGTTGGTATTAAGAATTCTTAAGTAATAATTGTCCACTTTCTTCTCAACTTCCGTTGCGAAACGTTCACCATACTTCTCAATGATGCGATGCTTATGGATTGTTTGGCTTCGTTGAATACTTATATACACTTCACTCCGTCGTGGTAATGCAGTTAATGTATAATTTTGGAAGTTCTGGGTATTATGTAACTTCCATCTGCTACAATACCTAAGAAGTTGATGAGCTATGCAGTTAGTATTTCATAATTGATATAGCTTACCTGTAAGATTTCGTCTTTTAACGTAGGCAAGTAGCATGTGACGGCAGGGATATCGACACATCATGAACGTGCTACAATTGCATTGACAAATGCTTATATCCACTTCATAATGTTGTCCGCGGTCAACCATAAACAACCAGTCGCCGCTTTCATATTCCACGTAGACGAAACGCATTTGTTTAAGTTCGTATAACGATTTAGATCTTGAGAATGGGGTCAAAATGTTTAGCAGGGGTATAAGACGCTGTGGAGCATTATATTTATAAGATCTTCCGGCTATCACTTGATCTTCGATACTTCTTCTAGTTGACGTCAATTCACTCCATTGTAAAGCCTTGTACATACATTTGTACAGACTATCACTTTTTCGTACATATCGTTTTATTTGCCTATTTAGCGATTCAACACGATTATTCGTGCTGTTACCCAATGTTAAAACATGACCGTAAAAGGCACGCGCCCACATTGTCTTACGTGCCATCCAAAAACGTGACAGGTACTGACCTATCAATCTGTCCCGCCGATTTATTATTCTGTAATATTGATTAAATCTAGTGAATAAACACATTACAAAAATTACCTTCCGACCGTCTCCGCAGTTACCAATCGAGTTAAGTACGTTTTCATTATTTTGTCGTTTGTCTAAGGGCAATTTTATATAAGTAACCATTGGTGTATCTTTTTCCGGAAAGCGCGAATTACATGAAAGGCGCACAAAATTATGTTTGCATGTCCGTGTGTTATACAGACAGCCGCGCTTTCACATCGTGCGCAATCCATCATAAATGTTTCAGTCAACATTGTGTCACCCATTATCTCTTTGAATTGATCTAAAATCCATATCACATCGGCACGCTTTTCCCTTCGAGTCCACGCAAACATTACAGTTCGACCTCGACCGCAATTATCCGTCACCACTAACTGGAATAAGGAATATCTACATAGTAAAATACAACGATAAACATATTCACTTTTTATTATTAGTATTATACGTAGAATCAATGCATACAACTTCTGGATATTTCCTGTACAGTTGTATTTGGTTATAACTACTGAAACATATTCTGGTGGCATATCCATTACCTGGTTCCGAGTAAAACAACCTGAAATATATTTATATACACTTACCAGTGGAGAGTGTAGCTTTCATACCTTTGACATCGGCAGCAGTTACTTGCTTACCAGTTCTCTCCTTAATACTTTCGATAACTTCATCTGCTGACTCACAGTGAAGTATTACGAGCTTCAAGTTCTCTTTTTCTTTTGACGATAATCTCCTTGTCCATGGATCACATACCATCCATGAACTACTACATGGATGATTGTGGAGCATGTTGTAGGATTTGATGACATATCCTTGCTCCTCTAGTCTTACACGGAATTTAGATTGACAATTACGGAATTTAGACCTTAAACATAAGATATTAGTTAAAGATCTTACGATTTTTGCCTCACTTTCAAACCTTCCGATTTCCGTTTATGACCAAACGTACAATTAAACGATACAAACAGGTATTTGAACCTGACATCCTTCAGCAATCTGCTTTCGTGTGGATGTAACGAGTATAAGTAGTCTGAGAAGTGATAAAATTATAATTCCATACTTTTTGGAACTCTTTAAAGGCGCTTTCAAAATCATCCCACAACACGAAACGCTTGTTCAGTATCATACTTCGAAAGGCATCGGTTAGGTCGACTGAAATGTCACTTGAGCATGAAGCACTAAAAACAGACATGACTAATTATTAAAAAGTTATTCCTTGCAACAATAATAACCCAAGGAAATACTACAAATACTTAGGATTTACCTGTGACTTGACATTTCGTTGAGCTTTACTACAGTTGTTGGGATCTAAGATCAAATTACAAAGCAACAACAGATCCAAAGTGTACACTACAAAACAGAGAACGCTAAATTAATGGTTTTGGTATTTATTTCGTGCTTTTTTATGTAGCATAAGATGACTTATATATGAAAAAACTTGATACTCATGCAATCCAACCAACCCACGGCAATTGAAATACGGAATGACCGCCTCTAGTCAAGCCGTTCAAGTTCGTTGAAGCGAAAGGGCGGGCACATTTCGAAAGGACCTAACGTTTAAACCTTGTCTTTTTATCATGAATTGACATGAGCTAAAGTGTAAATATGCTATATTAGTTTGATGAATTTTTTTCAAAAATCGATGAAGCGCTGTCCGGTTAGTTTTCTCATAAAATCGAGTACCAGCAACTTACGGTTGGTCTCAGGGTCAGGATTTTAGAATGGTGCCAATTTGCCTGTCATACACAATCTAAGAGAGGAGAATCAAGGATTCAATACATTTAACATTTTCATCTTTGCCTGCTGATGTGAAAATATAGTTTTTTGAGTATTATGGAAAGGTATTTGTATTTCTAGTTATACATGATAGTTGAATTTCGTCCATGAACATAGAAGTCGTACTCTCGATTTGCAACGGTTAGTTTCTATACTATACTTTTACCCAGATTTCTATATTTGAAGATTCTCCTTATCTCAACCAAACTCCTCATTAAAGTTATTCTCATTGAAATCACGAAGCGATCAATGTTAGACCACTATCGAAAACCTGGAAACTGTGGACTACCGTTTTGTCCTTGTATGGGACTCTTCAAAGTTGCGCATCCATGACCACGTACACAGGAACTATAGCCTGGACTTTGGGGCGAACGCTTAGTCTCTGGACCATTGAGCTGGCATCCAACAATGTTGATGTGTAGCTTCAGTCGCAGCTGACACATTTGAAATTCACTGATCATGGCTTCACATCAAAACTCCAACAACTTGCTCTTGAAGCTATTTACTTGTGAGCACATGATGAATGTAAGTGGGAAACGGCCGTTCAGTTTTTCCATGTTTTCACTGGTGGCCTAGCATTGATCTGTTCATTATTTCTATGTAACTCCATTATCCCATACTTACAGTTTCTTGTGTATAAAGATAACACACTGAAGACAGGTATAAACATGTCCAATTTATGATTTAGCATGTAAATAATATACATGTAGATATGTATTTGCATGAATCAACTGTGTATAAGTGTGACAATTTCCAATGATATTCTGTCACGTTATCAATCAGATTTTGATATTATCTTTATCTTTTAACGATAGATAGTGATAACAACCGTTTTATCCGATAATCCATTTCTCAACACACTTTTTTTTCTTAACATCTGATCACAATTCCCATAGACATCAACTGTTAATAATTCTCAACGGTCGTCATCTAAATTAAATGTTGTTTTGAATGATGATGTTGGTGATAATAATAATGATGATAATAATGCTCAATCGATAACATTATCACATAATTCCAAGTCTAATTCACTTGATATTGATGATAATAATAAAGTTGAGTTAAATCATCAATCATCATAGTCAACATTCAAATCGACCGGGTGAAAAATGTTCCCGTATAATTAATGTTGAAATAAGGTTGAATCTCCATGAAATTCATTGAGAAAACCCATTTTTTTTAAAAATATTGTAAAACAGCTTGTTTTCTTATTCATTGTTCAATTTGTTTTATTTTGTTTGTTGAAATTAGGGATTTTTATTCTTTAAAAAAAATATTTTTCATGATTCGTTGTTTATTCCATTATTTTGTTGATTTCTATGTTTGCTGCTTTTTACCTTCATTTCGTTTTCTTTTATCTTTTAATATTTTCCTTAATGGTTAACCTTTTTTCTTGTTGTTGAATAAAACTGTTATGAAGAAGGAAATAACACTGTTTTGTTCTTGTAAATTATAGTAGATTATGTTTTGAATTGAATATTGTCAGTTAGTCATTGTGATTTGGAATGTTAGGGTCTGGTACAAACTTGCGTTAGCTCAAGTTCACAGACTATAGTAATATAAGATATAAACAGAAAAAAATGAATAGCGATGGAGTCAAAATGAAATAGTAGCAATAATAATGAGAAGTATTGAATATTGAGAATATTGTTTGAGATGTGATAGAGGGAAAGGGAATATATGAGGGGTTATTCGCATTGAAGACCTACTCTATTTTGACCGATCCTGCTCTTTATCGTTCAAGATCTCTTACCTCTGATAGCTATTATTGCATTGATTCTTATCAAATAGTCTTTATATACCAACATTACTTAGGACAGTTAATAGCTACTTGGTAGACTGATATCACATCTACGTCTGGTTATCTGTATCCTTCTTCAAAATTCTATATTAGCTAACATCATCTGATGAGCTAGTTAGGCGGCTGTCGAACATACGTGACGCATCTCTCAACCATCTCACTTGACAATGATTCATAACATGAACGAGTTTTCTATATGAATTTTATAGTGAATAAGGATTGACATGTATGTTTGTTGGTGTTGGATTGTTCCTGAGCCGTGAAAAGAACTACTTATTAGACGGTTATTTATGTAGAATCTGAGTTTTTGTTTTATTAAATTATAGTTTTCATTATTATTTTTTGGATAAGTACATTCACAGTTTGAAATAATAAACTCACAAGAAAACGTTAGGAGCTCGGTCCACTTGTTACTCAGAGTCGAACTACACCACGAAACATGAATTACTAAGAAAATTTAGCTATTCCAATCTGTGTGTTCAGTTGAAACCAACCACATCCATATGACCGTAATCCGTCAATTAAATTTGCGAAATTCTTATAAAGCTAACTGATTGGAATTTCAATGTTTAACAATTGTGAAAGAAATTATCAATAAAATTTTAATCTGAGTTTTATATATTTCTATTAGAGCTTGTTAGTCAGATGTGTATTATAAGAAGTATTAATATCGGTAGTATTTCATAATAACTGTTATCTAACCCTGGATAATAAGATTAGTTTATTCATAAATAAATCACATATATACCAATTGTTCAGAAACAAAGATTATTTGAGCGAACAGTTACTTTCAATAACTTTATCATTAAGCTCTACATTTATAACTCCATAATTATTGTGATATTTTATTAAGATCAATATAAGGCATGCATTAATGGATTTGATGATGTTATGTGTTAAGAATTGATGAACGTTTTTTATCTGTTATGACATAAATACTTCAGAATTGTGTTATTTGTTAATAAGGAAGATCATTTAATAAAGGTCAAAATGATTAGTAGTAAAGTGTCACGTTATAATCAATATAATAGTAATATATTGAATCGTATCAGAAGGGGGTTTTGCGGAGATTGTAGTAATTTCAACAGTTGAAGCTAGACCACCATGGAAAACCTAAGCGGCCGTTTCGTACTATTGTGGCACTCCCCAGGAGTGCGCATCCACGATCCCACTTCGTGAGATTCGAACTCAGGACCTATCAGTCTCGCGCCAGGCGCATAACCAACCAGACCACTGAGCCGGCATCCAACAGTTAATATCTAACTTCAACTAATCCACGAAATTGAGCGACACATCCACCGTTGTGATCAGTGAGTTACTACTTCACAACTGACCCGGTTGAACTCACTGGCCACTGCTTCTCACTAGAACTCCAGGATATATCCCTTGGAGCCAGTAGTCTAGTTGGTCAAGCGCCTGGCACGAGACTGGTAGGTCCTGGGTCCGAATCCCGCGAGACGAGGGCGTGGATGCTCACTGCTGAGGAGTCCCACAATAGGACAAAACGGCCGTTCAGTGCTTCCAGGTTTTCCATGGTGATCTAGCTTCAATTGACTCATGACCCCAACTGTTGAGATATTGAATCGTGTTGATAAAATGCATGGTAGGAGAATTTCATCTTGTTAATCGAGATGATAATAATAACGTATGAATATAATATGTAATAAGAGATGTGTTGTTAAAGTAATTATGATTTTTTAAAAATCCATGTGGATTAGGAAAGACGAATGTGCATATCAAGAACGATAAATGTAAAAGGAATTGGGAGGGGGATAAAAGGTTTAAAATATATGGTGATCCATTTGTGGACCTAGGTAAATATAGAGGCTGGATATACTTCTGGATACATAAGTTCTGGAATTGATCTAGATAGCCTCAGTTATGTAAGGGTGTCGTGATCTGGCTCATTTAGCAGATTATTAGGAACTTGATATAAAACAGAAAGCTTCTATTTTAATATGACGTTCACTATCGATCAAATAAGAAAGAGTGGCGCTATTAATAGATTTATTAACCATATTCACGAGCACTCAGTTATAATAATATCTGAGTACGGCCTATGTAACTAGTTCCACAAGATCAGTTGGATTGGTATGAACACATATAGGAGCCCATTATCAGTAACCTATCCCTGATTTGTTGTGTAAGTATTGGTTTGGTTAATAAAAATATATGTAACATGGCGGCGGTAATATCCTTTCACCAGATCCTTCAAGTCAAAGTATCCAAATGTCGCCTACTATATCCCCTTTAAAATCGAATTTCCGATGGAGGGTTTTTTTAACCGTGTCAGAGTTTATTTTGCATTAAAGGGGTGTAAAGATATGAAAATTTGTATACTGACTCGTCCGAGTATTCTCTCTAAATACGTTTCTTTTTGTAAGACCGTTACATTTCTAGAAAGTAGGACATCAGGGGAAACTATAATATTACCGTTCTTTTCTTTGCTGGTGAAATTAATAACCGGATGAACGCTATTGTGACTGTTCAACAACTATTGTTTGTCGATAGTTTCGTCACACACTATTAGTGTATCATCTAATGTATGGACAGTAATAATCTAGCTTATTTAGGATGCCGATCAACGGTCCATTTTGCAGTTTGGCTAGAAAAAAATATAAGCGAGAATCAGCTGAGTGGTGTCCCTATTGCTATTCCTTTGTAAAAAAATAACAATAATTATAGAGTTATAACTGTAGAGATTGATGATGAAGTAATTGTAACCAATTGTTCGTTTAAATATTCTTTGAGTTTTAGTATTGTACAGGGATCTTCAAACTGCTGTAATATGCAAATTGATTTACAAAATCTTTCTTAAATGAATATCGTGCACTGATAAAACCATAATAAAAAAGAAATTAGTATATCGAGAAATTATAAACGGAATAAACTAATAGATAGACAGATACTAATTGAATGTTATCCTGGCGAATCAGTGTTAGAATAAGACAATTCTTCACTTATCATTTAAAAAGCAATATAATCTTGACATTAGTGACTTTCTTTTCGATGATTTAACTTTATTCTACATAGTATTCTGATAGAAAATGTGGGTTATGTCTACATGGAAATTTTGTACGTAATTTATGATGGAAGTGCTTTTACTTGATTCATTTAACGTAATTTTTGAGAAGTATGTCTTGAGTAGTTACTTTTAATCATTCTATGCTTTTTTGTATAACTTAAGTAATTGTGAACATGAAAAATGGGTTCTTGTCATTTCGTTCTGATGTGTAACAGTATTAAATGTCAAAATTGTGAAAACATTATATTTAATGAATTGAAGACTATTAGGATTTCATGGAAACTTTATCAGCTTACTCATCATGTACAATTAGGATTACATTGCTTTGATGTACAATATCCCAGAGTTAATACTGATACACACCACTTCTATACAGAAGGACTGCTACGAGAGAGAAGATACAAAATATAAGAAAGGAAATTTACTTGATTTAACTGAATCATATAATTGTGTACTCATTTTAATATATATGTATATAATTATCTTAAGAAATCTAGCTTGTCATGGGTTTATTAATAATCCTTTGCATATGAAAGCTATTTCCTTACCAATCATGTGAACTTGTCATTTAGTGATTTCTGATTATCCCAATCTATCATAAACAACCCACAGATACACATTTTCTAACGGGGTCAGAGATACAACTCGACTGTCCAAGCCAAAGTATCAGTTGGGAGGAGTTCGAATAGGAAACTTTATGGTAAGCAATATCCTAATGAAGTGCAAATGAAAATGATTCCTTTCAACCGTCTATGACAAACAATCATATCTTAATTAGCTAAATACAAATATTGCACACAATCTTTTTATAAGGTCAAAATTGCTTATCATATTTCAGTTTTTATAAAAATGACCTTAATACAACACTTTATTTTTGTATGACTCCATTCTTGAATCTCATTATGCTCCCAATGAAATCAATACATTTTTGACTTTTATATGGAATTTAACTGATCTTGTTTCAGTGAACACCCCTTTGCACTTCATAATTTAACTATTCTATTCTGTCTTTATTCACAAAGATTAAATATACTCTACGATGATGATATTAAGCAAACTAATGGAGTTTGGGAAACAACAACCCAACTAAATGATTTTAATGTGTAAATAAAACATAATGAATTATGATTAAGAATATGATGTAATGAGCTAGAACTTAATTGTTTGAAGTGTACACGGCCTATGATATTGATTTTCCCCAATCATTTATATTATGTAATCACAACTTAAGAAGGAGTAGTTTCATAATATTGAAAATTAGTTATGCTCATTGGTTTTGACTGTCTAATTTTATGATGCTGTAAATTTCTGTTCATAAAGTAAGTTATTAATTAATTAATGTAAAAGACTACTGATTTTAGTAAATACGAATTCGACCACTACTAAGATTTGAGATATTAATAAATAATCCAACTACGTCATAAAGCAGGCCCTCACTTGGAATCCTCAAGGTCAAAGTGGAAGAGAAAGACCAAAGAGCACATTACTTCGAGAAATGGAGGTAGACATTAGAAGAATGAACGACAATTGGATAGAATTAGAAAGGAAGGCCCAGGACAAAGTGGTTTGGAGAATGCTGATCGGCGGCCTATGCTCCACTGGGAGTAACAGGCGTATGCAAGTAAGTAAGTACTAATAAGTAAACATATTCTATAATAATAAAAATTACTGAGAATCCAAATGGATTTTGCTGTTTACTAATAAAATTTATCTTCACTGAATGACCATAAATATTATCCAATCATCAATATGTAAATTGATATTTGTTCCTAAACTGGGCGAATGACATTCTTTTGATAAGGTTGATTAGTAAAAAATGATTTTGCTTAAATACCAGTCTATTTTTTCTTACAAATGAGAGAGCTATCTAATATATTCAACACAAATAAATGTTTCTGATCACAGTCTTGAGTGCTGTTAGAGGTATTTTTTATCATAACCTCGAGAACTACAGAATTCAGCGGCTCATTATCTCCTTTCTTATGTATTGGAAGTTAAAATAAAGCTTAATGGAAAGAAAACTTATATATATCTTGGAACAGTGAATCATGTGCGTTTGTTTATTTGAACATAGTTAATCAGATTATACAGATATGCATAGAATAAAAATAAATTTCTCTCCATTTGATTAGTTATTAGAAAGAGAAATACATCAAAAGCAAAGTTATGAATATTAAAAACAATATGGAGGGAACAAATGAGATATGATACTTATGAACAGAAGGAGTCGACCAGTCGAATACATTGTATGCATTGATCCAAGTTACCGTATTACAACAGCATAGTGAGATGAAATTCACAGTAGTGAAATTAACAACACTGTTACTAATAATGGAAAAGACTAGATATATAGAATGGGATTTGAAAGGAAAATATGAGTTTGTGTAACTGAAAAGAAGTATAAAATAATTTTAAAACCCAATATCTCAGAGATGATAAAAAGTGAATGCATCTGAGCTGTTTTGACTGATTCTCAGCCATTTAATCTAACATCTTCAATCATTGATGATGGTAATCTCACACAGACTAACATATGAAAGCAATGTATATGAAATAAATTATTTCGTTCACTAAAATTGATAAGAAATAGTTTAAAGATATCCAGTCATGTAATATGATGAGATAGCCATGATGAATAAAGATTATTGTTATGGAAATAGAAAAAAAATGGGCAAAATCTTTCAACGATTTGATGAAGTTTTCCCATCTGATATTGCTCTCGGTTGTTGATTATGATGATGGTGTATTCGACTACTGCTAGATGATATTGGATGAAGAGGAAGATAAAGTTTATAGTCTCTTGGTAATTCATCTTCTGAATAAATACGATCACAAAAGTAAACACGACGCAATCGACAATTTGCATGAATCTAAATGAACAAAAAGATACAAAAATACCGAGGTTCTTTTTAATTTATTTCAATAAGAATGTTTATAAATCGAAAATGTGGAAAATATTCGTTCAATTATCTATTTCTGATTGAATTTAAATTAGGCTATGAAAGTTAAATATTCCGTAGCATTATACTTAATGGACGATCTAAAACTGACTGAAAAATTTTAACCACTTATTGGGCTAGACAGGAATTAGGATGAATGGTTAGGTTGGGAAATTAGGAGCAGGGTTAGCACCATTAACTGACATTAGCTATGAGGCAAGAATGTTTTGTAGCTTTATAGATTAGTGAATTTCTCGCAAAATATCCAAGAGACCCTATTATAAATCTGATTGATTAGTCTATCAAGTATAGTGCTTCTGTATATTCATTTATTATGATAAGATGTAAAGATAGACGAATAAGTCGTTTAGACAACGATGAAATATAACATAGAGTTGACCATTTATTGATTCTTGTAATTCAGGTGATAATTTTGTCGCTCATTAATTTGGAATAAGTACCTGAACGTTCACCTACAATTTTCAATTTATTGCTTTTTTCACTATTGTACTAGTCAAGTAAAATTCGGAAAGTGAAATTCGTCCGTTCAAATGCTTTGAAGATAATTGTCTGTATGATTGATTGAGCAGTCAATTAATATTCGATTTTATTGGTTTAATAATTACAATCATTCTACACTCTACAATTATATTAGTATATGTACATAGGACTGTCAGAGTTTATAGTCAATACATACTTTATTCAAGGAATATGTTAAAGGAATTCATAAGGACAAAACAGTACAAATAATTCGATTTGTGACAGCCTACTTATTTAATACCACTCTCTAATTATTCAAAAAATATATATAGAAGTCCTCGGACTTGAGGCACGATATCAAGAATGAAAATTAGTCATTACTGATGGCCATTTTATGAAAACTCTAAGTTCTATCAATGTTTTGATACTCGGTAGGTTTTAAACTTTTAACTCCGCCTGGAGTCCCTCCGGGGGCTACTGCCGGTCCCAAGCCCGGATAAAGGAGGAGGGTTGGGCATGGGGTTAGCGTCCCCATCCCGTAGAAAACTAACTCGCTAAAAAAACGCTAACCAGAAAAAATTATTCAAACCTTTTAAACTCTGCCCTGGGAGTCAGAAGGTCTTCATTTAGAAGAATTATGACGCCTCATGATGAAAGCCGAATTCCTTCGGAAGTTACGAGGCCGATGCCCCTTCTGACAACCAGAGCAACCATTTATTTAGGTACATGGAATGTTCGTACAATGTGGGACACCGGAAGAGCCTTCCAAATTGCTGCAGAAATGAGAAGATACAACCTAGAGGTACTTGGGATCAGTGAAACACATTGGACACAAGTTGGACAACAACGACTAACTACAGGAGAGCTCCTGTTATACTCCGGCCATGAAGAAGAAAATGCACCACATACACAAGGAGTTGCATTGATGCTGTCCAAACAAGCACAAAATGCACTTATAGGATGGGAATCTCATGGACCAAGGATCATCAAAGCCTCGTTCAAAACAAAGAAAGAGGGCATTTCAATGAACATCATCCAATGCTATGCGCCTACCAACGACTACAATGAAGACGCTAAAGATCAATTCTACAATAGGCTGCAGTCAATCGTCGAGAAGTGCCCAACAAAGGACCTGACCATTCTGATGGGAGATTTCAACGCCAAGGTTGGAACGGACAACACTGGATATGAAGACATCATGGGACGACACGGACTGGGAGAAAGAAGCGAAAATGGTGAGAGATTTGCAAATCTATGTGCCTTCAATAAGCTGGTCATAGGCGGCACCGTATTGCCACATAAACGCATACACAAAACCACATGGACTTCACCGGATCACTCTACACAAAACCAAATCGACCATATTTGCATCAACAAAACGTTCAGGAGGACTATAGAGGACGTGAGAACCAAGAGAGGAGCTGATATAGCATCAGATCATCACTTACTGGTCGCCAAGATGAAATTGAAACTCAAGAAGCACTGGACAACGGGGCAGACAGTATCACAAAAGTTCAATACGGCCTTTCTTCAGGATACTAACAAACTCAACAAATTCAAGATAGTCCTCAGCAACAAGTTCCAGGCCTTTCATGATCTACTCAATGGAGAAGGAACTACTGTGGAGAGCAACTGGAAGGGGATCAAAGAGGCAATCACTTCAACATGTCATGAGGTCCTGGGTCACAAGAAGCACCACCACAAGGAATGGATCACTGTTGATACACTGGATAAGATTCAAGAAAGAAGGAACAAGAAGGCAGCAATCAATACCAGCCGAACAAGAGCAGAAAAAGCTAATGCACAAGCTGAATACACAGAAGTAAACAAACAAGTGAAGAGGAGCATCAGAACCGACAAACGTAAATATGTGGAAGATTTAGCAACGACGGCGGAAAAGGCTGCAAGAGAAGGAAACATGAGACAATTGTATGACACGACAAAGAAGCTCTCTGGAAATCGCCGCAAACCAGAACGACCAGTGAAAAGCAAGGAAGGCAAGGTAATCACCCACATTGAAGAGCAACAAAACAGGTGGATAGAACACTTCAAAGAACTCTTGAATCGACCAGCTCCACTGAACCCACCCAACATCGAAGCAGCACCCACGGACCTCCCAATCAATGTTGGCTCACCAACAATTGAAGAAATCAGCATGGCCATCAGGCAAATCAAGAGTGGCAAAGCAGCAGGACCGGACAACATCCCGGCAGAGGCACTAAAAGCAGACGTAGCGGCAACTGCAAAGATACTCCACATTCTCTTCAATAAGATTTGGGATGAGGAACAAGTACCAACAGACTGGAAAGAAGGACTTCTGATCAAAATACCGAAGAAAGGCGATCTCAGCAAGTGTGATAACTACAGGGGCATCACTCTTCTCTCAATACCGGGAAAAGTCTTCAACAGGGTATTGTTAAACAGGATGAAGGACTGCGTAGACGCCCAACTTCGAGACCAACAGGCAGGATTCCGTAAGGATAGATCGTGTACAGACCAAATCGCAACTCTACGGATCATTGTGGAACAATCAATTGAATGGAATTCATCACTCTACATCAACTTCATTGACTACGAAAAGGCATTTGACAGTGTGGACAGAACAACACTATGGAAACTTCTTCGACACTACGGCGTGCCTCAGAAGATAGTCAATATCATACAGAACTCATATGATGGATTACACTGCAAAATTGTGCATGGAGGACAGTTGACAAAGTCGTTCGAAGTGAAGACCGGTGTTAGGCAAGGTTGATTACTCTCACCCTTTCTCTTTCTCCTGGTGATCGACTGGATCATGAAGACGTCAACGTCTGAAGGAAAGCGCGGGATACAATGGACATCTAAGATGCAGTTGGATGATCTAGACTTCGCAGACGATCTGGCCCTTCTATCCCACACGCAACAACAGATGCAGGAGAAGACAAACAGCGTGGCAGCAGCCTCAGCAGCAGTAGGTCTCAACATACACAAAGGGAAAAGCAAAATTCTCCGATACAACACAGCATGCACCAATCCAATCACAATTGACAGAGAAGATTTGGAAGATGTAAAAACCTTTACATATTTGGGCAGCATCATTGATGAACAGGGTGGATCTGATGCAGATGTGAAGGCGCGGATCGGCAAAGCAAGAGCAGCATATTTACAACTGAAGAACATCTGGAGCTCAAAGCAACTGTCAACCAACACCAAGGTCAGGATTTTCAATACAAATGGCAAAACAGTTCTACTGTATGGGGCAGAAACCTGGAGAACTACGAAAGCCATCATCCAGAAAATACAGGTGTTTATTAACAGTTGTCTACGCAAAATACTTCAAATCCATTGGCCGGACACTATTAGCAACAACGTACTGTGGGAGAGAACAAACCAGATCCCAGTGGAGGAAGAAATCAGGAAGAAGCGCTGGAAGTGGATAGGACACACATTGAGGAAAGCACCGAACTGCGTCACAAGACAAGCTCTCACATGGAATCCTGAAGGTCAACGGAAAAGAGGAAGACCAAAGAACACATTACGCCGAGAACTGGAGATAGACATGAGAAAAATGAACAAGAATTGGATGGAACTAGAAAAGAAGGCCCAGGACAGAGTGGGTTGGAGAATGCTGGTCAGCGGCCTATGCTCCATTGGGAGTAACAGGCGTAAGTAAGTAAGTAAGTAAGTAAGGTTTTAAACTTTTACTTGGATGGCAAAAGATTTTGAGACGATGTTCACAAATATTTCGAATAACCCGAAATGTTTTTCTACAATTGTTTGACTATGAAATTCCAAAAAATAACAAAAGATCAACGCTCATTCGCAGAGCCATTTGATGGTAGAAAAGCTCAAGAGATTGCAGAAGTCTGATGATTTCATCAACAAAGAAGGTTGGTAGTCAACTCTGACTAAAAATTTTAGAAAGACAGTTTTTGAATTCATTGCATAAACTACCCCATCGAATTACTTTATTTCGGTTTAAGCACTAATTATTAAGATTCAAGAGTTTGTGGATTTTGTACAATTCTAGTTCGTTTCAAACATTGGTTACAATAATCAAGTGGATCCGAGGCAGATAGTTTGTATTTATTTACAAGATACTGTTCAATAGTCAAAAGTCTCATTGACTGACGCGATATGTTCTCCCACCTCTAGACTTCTCATAACGAAGTCCTACAACAACTAATACTGAATGTAAAGATTTGTATTTATCGGGCAAACGTAATATCAAACACCTCAGTCAATGAATAATTACTGCTTCATCAAATAACTTGCCGTATCTAACTAATATAACCTTACCATCGCTTACTCAGTAGTCCCGAGATATCTTTTCTTTTTATTACTGAAATTATTCATTACATTTTGAAAACTGTGAGACTTTAATTCGTCTGAATCTGTTAAAGAATAGAGAGGAATATTTGAGAATTTTCAGGAACGTGGATGTAACACTTGACTTGTCTGCAGTGAAA